AATGTCACCGATGAAACTTTTAAATAGGACGAGTTAACTACGTCGATTCCAACGGTATCGGCTTCATCCGTTTATCCGCGGCAAGACTCGAAGGCGACGCGGGATAAGCCCGTGTCAGCGGATGTCCCCCTTCGCGCCATCGGAAAACGTTTTTCCAATTTATGCGCGCCGAAAGTTCGTGCCGCCACTTTTTGCCGGATAAATCGCGCGTGAACATTGATATGTGCGCGCGCGTGGGACGAACACGATGTGTAAGCGTTATCATATCGACACCCACTCACTCATCCACACACACACACACACACACACATATATAGTTAAGCAAACATATACGTTTGACGCGGGACAGCGAGCGCGAAATTTTCCCGTAAAATCCAAAATTCAGCTTAAATGCTCGCGCAGCTAATGGAATCACCGTGTGCGTTTTTGCAACTCCGTGGACGCAAATACACGCTTTATAGCAGAAATCGCAGGATAAAATTTAATCCGCGCGGCACGGCATGCTCGCACGCACTCGACAAGCGGAAAGGCCGCAAGTTATCGGCCGGATTTAAGCCCGCTTCATACACAAATATAGGCGCGTACTTGCTTTTATCATCACACATCGCCCCATCGATCCCGTCTAGCATCGCTCCGCATGCTCGACATGCCGCGCGCGGAAAATGTTTTCAGCCCCTCAGTGAAACGGGCTGGCGGCGGCGGCGGTGACGGGGAGGCTGATCGAAAGGGCATATCGACGTTGCGCACTTGTGAATTGCGCACAGCGAAATAACGAAATGTTTGTCTTTGTTTGGACAGGAGCGTGTTTCCGTATTAATGGCGTCCTTCCGCCATTATTCAACAGTCTGGCTTTGAGGGCTACTATAAGTTTTTACATTGCTCCGGACTGCATGAAAATTTGAAAAAAGTTCTCGTATACTTATGAAAGCTTCAATTACAAGTTTTTACCATCGTAGAAGTCGGATTGTATTTTACTTGTTTTATACAGATTAAAATCGGAACAGGAGCATTGGAAAACCGTGACACGCGCAGCAATACGTAGTTTTTATCGAAAACAATATATTAAAAAAAAAACAGAAAATTTATTTACAAAGAAAAGTCTTCATATATTTAATGAAATCATATAAATAAATGTTTTGAAAAAACTATGCAATACACCGAAAAATCTATTTTAAAAACAAAATCTCTATATATTAATTGAAAGCGTTGGAAACTATGTAAAATTCGAAAAAAATCTACATTATTCGCTTGCAGAAATAATTACGTGATCTGAATTCTGGATCGCCGAGGGCAAAAACGTGTATTCCAACTGTCCTTGTTAGAAAACAAAGTTAGATATCGGCCTCTTTACGCGCACGTGATCTCATTATCCCTAAGTTTTTAACAAGGAAGTATTAAACTCCGCTGTCTATTAGTTTTCCCAAAATTTCCAATCAATTAACCAACTGTGCCATCAAATTGCCAGCCAGGTAGCCGGCGAAGGATTAATTATCGGGAAACGCCGTCAGAGCGATCACGCAAAAGGATATGTCGGGGTTATCCTCTTTATCGCCATGAAATCAGTTATCTCGAGGCGTTGGAGAAAGCTCCTTCCGTAATTGGCCTTTTTTACGTCTCTCGGTTGCGTCGCAAGAAAATCACTCCCTGCAGGAATTTCCGCTTCGGCAACGAATCTTCTTGTTTAATTCTCCCGCCTCTGTAACTCGCGTCATGTACGCGCGGAAAGGTAGCGTAATATTTTCACAGATACGCCGTATCTTTTGTAACGATAGCGAATTACCCGTCGTCTTCTTTCGCCGACGGCCGCCAATTACAAGGGAACTACGCGCTCTCAGCTACGTCCGCCGGCGTCGCGTGATGAAAAACGATGACCCGATTCGAAACCCCGGCCAAGTTAAAACTGAGTTGTAACGCGAAAGTCGAGCGGACAGAGAAAGAGGGAGAGATATCAAGTCAGGCGGAATTGAATTAAAGAGTTACATGTTAATGAAAAGCTGCGAAATAACGCACGCTTGCCGCAGAAGTTTTATATCATCGCGGTAGTTCGCAACTTCCGGCTACTCGAACTCACCGGAACAGCGTTCCGTGCGAAAGCCAGACGAGAGCTGCGCGCAAATTCGTACTAATATATTATATGTATGGACACCCGATCCCGGGCCATTAATAATGCATGAGACAAGAAAAGTCACGAGACGGTGAATATGTATGGAATGCAGGGATATTGAATGGCCAATACCGACACGATTTTCCGGACACGTGGCCGATGGTCGTCCTTTCAGAAGTTCAGCGTTCCACGGGGAAACCCACCGCTCAATGTGAAATTCCGTGTCTGCTGCAGCTTCGTCAGCAGATCAAATCGGCCGGGCCACCGGGGTGCGGTTCGCTTTCCGAGCGTGATAAATATGACATATCAGTCGCATCTGTTCGTGAAACAGGACGGGATTATGCGTCCCGAGAAATCATCATCGATAAAATCTTGGCAGCGCTCGCTGCGTCCACGCGAATGACATCCTGATATTTGAGCTTTCTATTTCGGTGGACGAGCAACCCGCCGGAGGCAACTGCTGCTCATGGGCATGCGGTGGGCACACATTGAGTACTCTGGGTGGATACTATAATTAGAAATACCGTTTGCAACGGGCCGTGAAGAGTACGCGACTTGTGAAAGATGTGTTTCCCGCGAGCTTGGGAGAGACACACTCTCTCCCTGGGTGGTCTTTGTACCGTCCTTGTGCCTTGTGGATGTTTGTTTCCGAGTACATTGTAAACGGACGACGCACAACGGCGTGTGCACACACAAGTTATATCTTAAGAGTTCAGAGTCTATTTCTACCCCCCCGAGACAGATAAAAGCGCAAAGCTCTCGATAAGCCGAGGAATGTGATAGCTCAGAAACCGCGAGCTTTCGCGGAAAAAGGCGCAGTAAAGTGTTCGTCAACTGCCTATACCCTCTTGTCCCCGATTACGATTATATGGTTACGTTATTCTTACGAAACGACTCTTCCATAGCGCGGCTTTAAGATTTATCGACATTAAGATTTATTAGCAAAGACGCCGCATAATAACGGCCGGGTAATGAGCGACGCTTCTCGGTATTGATGACTCGGTGTGACTCGTATTAAATTTAATAACGGCGCGACACCGGGCTCTCTATCGATCGAATTTTTCATTCGTGGCTATAAGCATTCCGTGCGGCCGTTAAAACATTTATGCAATCGATTATGCATACGTAACGTGTCGACGGTCGAGATGTACAGACGGACGCTGCGCGATGCTACACAGTGCTTCATAATGCCTGCATAATACCTAGTAGTGCCGTCTAGTGCTGCCATCGAGGACGTGAATCCGCATACCAAATGCACATATATGCATCCTTCACGTGTGTTAATGGAAACTTCAAAGGTCCGCCGCTGTGTCTGCGCGTAACAAGAGGATACGTCGACTACATTTCAGATTCGTAATTAACAATATCTCATATCTGATGAGCTTGGTACAGCCCCTGATATGAAAAATAGAAATAAAGATCATAAGACCGGAAATCGAAAAACCATCCAGAATACACGGAGAAAAATCATTTAGAAACCATCGTTGCTACTGCATATTTGTTATGACAGCGATGAAATTTAATTGGCATGATCAGATTCTAAATCCAAGATTTTTAAATTTATTTTCTAAAGAACTATTTATTATTGTGAATATAGAATAGTGTGTATACGTGTGAATGTGTATGCCTTATTTATCGAATGGCATTTTTTTTTATCTAAGGCAAATATCTTTCAATTTTATTTCTTCCTCTTAAAGAGCATTAAATTGTAATATATTTATTTTTTGATTTAGTTATTTCTTGTAGAACAGTGTGGTTGTTAGATCAATGTATACTTGCACCCTCATTTTGGACTGCGAATTCTTTCTAAATTGTTCGAGCAATAAAATCGAGCGTGTGGCATTTAATTAGCATTTAATTCTGATACTGTTTTCATCTCGATTTTTTGTGCTGGGAATGTCAGCCGTTATTATTATTATTATTATTATTATTATTAACTAAATCTGGATATTAACATATCTGCTGTATCGCTGAAATTTTGAAGTTTCTTCCACGATGGATAGAATTAGAACGGCCCGAAGTATCTCGGTAGAAATATCTCTCCTTACAACAGAAAAATGTCTCTTCTTTTTCAATCAAGCAAGGCAATTTCACATTGACATTTGTTCCCAAAATGGCGCGTCCTGTGCTTGTCACATATGGCGCACTTACGTGCAGCCAGCCAAGGTTGTTCGGCGAGCAGAGCTAGAAGAGAAACGCGCTTCGGTTGGCGCCCTAAAATGTATTCCCATGTATAATTTATCTCTCGCTCTCGAAAGCAGCATCGCCCACACCTGCGTTTACCTCAAAGTCACGATCTTTCTTGAAGAACCGATGTGGCGCGCTATCGAAATGCAGGATGGCGAGACACTCTCCCGGGGCTTCAAGTCGCTCCGTTTTATCTGATTTCGTTTGAGCTCCCGGTGAAAATAAACCGCTTGAAACAATCGGGAGATCACATTAAATGAATAGTTCTGAGCTCAAATCAAATATGAGGATAAATAGTCAGGATAAATCGCATTTTGCCCAGATTTGTTTGGTGAAGAGTCGAAACATGCAGCAAACGCGAAGTAATTGTCGGCGCATCCGCTCTGTATTATCTAATTTCGTTTGATCTGCCGGCGGAAATGAAACCATTCGGAGGATAACATTGAATAATAAACTTTGAAGTTCCAATGAAATATGTTGATAAATAGTCGGAATGTCGCGTTTATCGGGACTCATTTGTTAGAAATCCAATTTACGCGGTGAACATAAAGTAATTATCAGGACACAAGGTTGTAGCTTGTACATTCCTCCTCGGGGAAATTATCTAAACTCTGTTAATTCCTTTTCAATCTTCTACGTATTAGTTATATGTATACATCGACCCGTGGAAGTATCGCATAACAACGGAAATTGTTGTTGCGCGTTACAGGAAACGTGGTGCAGACGATGGTGGCACATCTCTCAAAGGAGCCTCTCCCTATCGGCCAGTTCCTACTCGCCGACGTTAAATCCGCTTTTGATGAAGCAACTGAAAGAGCCTAAAGCCACGGAAAAAGCAGCGAAGAATGTCGTGAAGGCCACATCGGCGGAAAACCTGACGGTCGAGAGTGCGGAATCAGCCGGTAAGTCGATTGTATGGGCTCTTTCATTACACGGAAAAAAAGAATTATTATCAATTCAAGATTCGTATTCTCATATACAGGAAAGAATATATAATCTTATATATGAAGATTAAACCTGCTAACATGAGGAAATTTTATATAGTCCCTCTAAAAATATCATATTCAAATTATTCAAGAATAATTATCAATCTCATATAATTTTAATACGATATTTTTAGAGAAATTATATAAAATTCCCTTGTGTGAGCAAGTTTTATTTTCATATAAGATTAAATATGCTTGCTTATCGCGAGAATACGAGTTTTGAATTGATTCTAATATTTTCTTCGTGTATAAAATCGTGTATAAAATAGTAAAGAAAGAAAAACGAAGGAAGGGGAAGAGGGGAGAAAGCGGAGGGTACATATATTACATCATATTTATTACACATTTGGTACACTCAAATTACATCGGTCAAATCGTGTACGCTTGAATCCCTCGTGCATTACGTGTGACGTTACACCGAGTATCCTTCCTTCCGTCACTCACTCCATCGATGCTTATCACCTGCTATGAAATATGACTCGTGTGGATTTATCCACCTGCAACAACGGACTAATCGATTAATGATACTTAATATGCCCAATAAATTATCCGGACTATCAGCGTTCTCTCTCGCGATACTCGCGCGTCGCCGCGCGAAGAGAAACGTCATATATCTCAGCGAGAAATTACCGGCGCGTCGCGTGCACGTTCGTCGCGGTGGTGAATGATTTTTTTCACCAGCTGAATCGCCGTGTCGCTGCCGTGTCGAACGGGACCGACGTTTCGCGACGATGTCTCGGGAAATCTCGCGTCGGTTTAATATTAAGACATCAATAACGTTATCTCCTTTGGCAATCCTCGTCCGTCCGTGCGCGTTCGTCCATCGAAGAAATAAATATATCATACAAGAGGGAGCCTGCCATTCAGGATGCTTGCGCGTACTCGTTCTGGCCGTCGATCCCATTGAGACTATCCTCGAGTACTTCGAACTCCTCGAACTCCATTTTGCCGAAATCATTGTCGGCCTTCCAGTTGTCAGCGTTCACTTCCCACCTCGTCAGCGCGCTCGCCGCGAATTTGCCCGGATAATTGGAGGATCTCGACTCCAAGTCGTCCAAATTGCCCAGCTTAAAGTCCGCCTTGAAAGTCCTCGATTCCTTGCTCTCCTCTTTCTTCGGCTCCAGTCCGATTACCACCGGTGGCTCCCGTTTCGTCTGCCCGATCTGCTCGATCCCTTCGTCCCCTCGTTCCCGCTCCGCGTCCTCCTGCTGCCGCTCGGCCGTCGTGATCTCGATGCTCGGCGTCTCCGCGATCGTGCACTGACGGAGATCGGCGGTGCCGCGCTCGCGGCGCAACGACCCGCCCTCCACGAGTCTGCCGGTCAACTCGAGCCTGCTGTCGCACGAGTTGCTCTTCACCAGCTTGAACTTCACGTAGTCGTTCGACCGGCGGTCGGCCCGCTTGAAGCCGTTGCCGATCAGCGGCGAGATCAGCGGCCCGTTGTGCGTGTTCACCACTTTGCCGCCGTAGTACGTCACCGAGGTGCCGCACTCCCGGATCTTCCTCAGCACGTCCTGCGACACGTAGTGACCCGGCCCGCCCGCGCCGTCGTCCTCGTGGCAGTTCGCGTCCTCCTCGTCGGACGACGTGCAGTGGGCCGCGCTGCCGGCGTCGGTGTCGGGATAATCGCTCGACACTCCGGAGCTCACGCTACCGGAGTCCCAATTTTGATGATGATGGTGGTGATGATGATGATTGTGGTGATAACGACCGGCCTTGTTCTTGGAGCAGTTCGAGTCGCTCGGCGACGTGTTGCCGCTCCTGGCCTCGAAGCTCTGCGCGAGAATCCTCGTCTTTGACTCTCCACGCGGGCTGCCGGGCTCCTCCTTGGCGATGGAGGCGGTCGACGACGCGGACTTGGTCTCGAAGAGTCTCGTGAGATCCTTCGCCCGGCTGGAGCATCTGGATCTGCACATAACGCGCGCTTTCGCTCAAAAGTGCTCGGGAACGCGGCTTACGAATCGGCTCTCTCGAACTCTCGGACAAGGAGAAACGAACAGTTTACGCTCAACGCTCGAGTAACTTTAATGCGGCGCCGGAAACGTTATTATCTCAGTCGTCGCGTAATCGAGTCGCAGACTCCTTAATGCACGGGAGCGCCGGCGGGAACTGCGCGGCAATTTGTAATCCTATTAAAATTGAGTGTTACCTCCGACTGAGGATTATCCGGAGCGCCGTTCCTGCGAATCTCATTCGTCGGTGGCGGTTGGCCTAAAATATTCGCTCGTCGCCGTCATCGTCGTCGTCGGAACGCTCGCACGAGTCTGCGCGCGGTCAATAATAAAAGCCGCTTCGACGACGACGACGACGACGGTTCAATATACGCTACCTGGATTCCTCGCGTGCCTTGTCGGACATATCGTCGTATCGGCCGTCGTCGATGCTCGTGAGATCCTTCATGCTCAGGCTCCTCCTGCTCTTGCAGTCCCTCGAGAACTCCGCGTCGGACGTGCTCTTCTTCTTCAGCGTGTCGTTCTCGAACATGCGCCTCACGTTCCTAACAGTATCCGGGTCCGGCAGCTCCTCGTCGATCAGCTCGCGATTCACCCGTATGGGGTGGTAGAAGAAGTGCTTCCTGATGCTCGACTTCGAGCCTTTAACGGCGGCGTCGTCGTCCGCCCGCTCGCCGCTCCTTTCGCTCTTCTTCTGGATCGTGCCGGCGACCTTGCAGGACGGCTCCGTTCTCGCCAACGGCGACGACGGCGACTTCAGCTCCACCGGCTCGGCGCGCACCGGCTCGATGATGACGACGTTGTTGTCCATCAGCAGCTCTTGGAACGAGTACTCGCGCAGATACTGTATCAGCCCGTCGTAGGTGACGTCGCCGCGGCCGGTGTTGAACATGTTCTTGCTGAACATGTGCGACTTGACGATCTTGTACCGCACGTGATCGAACTCCGGCCCGTCGTCCTGGCACTCTATCGAGTCCACGCAGCTCTTCGACCTGGTGAGATTAGTGTGCGGCTTTTTGCCGTCGCCCATGTTGTTATCTACCGCCGTGCTGGGATTATCGGCGGCAGCGGCGGCCCGGGGCGAACGATCGTCCTCGGCGCCGTCGTCCATCGATCTTCTGCGGGAGTCGCTGCCAGACTCGGAGCCGAGACCGAGGTCGGAGCTTTCCGACCTCGCCTCGAAGCCCAGGCTCCCCTTCACGACGCTGCACGCCTTGCCAAGGATATTGGACGTTTCCTTGACTATCCTCTCGAATCTACCCTCGTTCTGTTTGTTTCTCGTCGTCTCTCTCTCTGCGGTTTTCCGCTCGAAGAAGTTCCGCGCGTCCTCCACCGTCGCCGTCTCGCTCGCATTTCCCGGTGTCGAGGTGTTCTGCGAAATTAGTTGTCGGTGTGCTTAATGCGCTTACGCTCCGCCGCGTCGTGGGCGCGAGACGAGTTCCCGCCGGCGGGGAATTACGGGAAAAAGGGGGCAGGGAACATAGAGTGCGATATACATGTCTTATGAGCCGGCGTGTGCAAATTGTTTTACGGCCGCGGGGAAGCGTGGATTATTTAATCGCGCGTGAAACTTCAGGCGGAAAGATTGAGAAGTTAAAGTTGCAGCACGCGGGGAAGAACCATTCAAAATTCCAGGGCGCGCGCGCGCGGAGAATTCGAAATCAGTCGCTCCCCCCAATGTAACTTTCAATCTTGAATAACTCTCTCACCGCGAAAGAAGTACCGTTCATGCTTTCGTTTCCCGTTACGGCGCGCCATTCTCGCGGCTCTTACTTGCAGATCCGCGCGAAGAATGATGAACTTATTAAGATCGGAAAAACAACGCTTTCCCCGCCGGAAATATGCCGTCGGCGCTCACCTCCGCGTTTTTCCCACGAAGCTCGGTATCCTTGCGCACGTTATTGCTCGCCTTGGCCAACGGGTCGATGCGCTCATTCGGGCCCTTCTCCTGCGGTTTCTTGTCCTGTGGCACGTCCTCGACGACGGCGTCAATCTCCACGACCGAGCGCCGGTGTCGTCTCTTGGTGACGTCGTTGTCGACGACCTTGAGGATCTGCGGTCTCCGCGACATCTCGTCCTGCTCCTCGCCGTCCGAGATCCAGATCGACTTGTACTCCTCGGCCTCCTCGATCTTGCGATCCTCCTCGCACGGGGGAGTTACGAAACTCTCGACATCGGCTTTGTACCGCTGTCGCTTGAACTTGCCCGATGATGACGAGGAGGAGGAGGAGGAGGGCGTGGAGGGGGCGCACTGATCCGCGAACTTGTTTGTCGAGCTAATCTCCGAGTCTTCCTCGAAACTCTCTTCGGATCCTCGACGGTCCCCTCCCGCCGAGACCCTCGTAGCCGAGTTCGCGTCCCTGGACGAGTCGAGGTCTTCGTGAATTTTCTCCCCGAGATCGTCGTCCTCGTCGTCGTCCTCGTGCTGGTGGTCGGCTTGCACGCTATTATTCTCTTCCGCCGTATGCTTCTCCTCGTCCGTGGCGTCGTCGCCGCCGCTCGTGGAAGGCGATGCCTCCTCGGCGCTGCTCGGCTCGTGGTACTCGAGTACTCTTATGTCTCGCGAGCCGCACACCTGCTCGTTCCGCCGCTCGAAATTACCGTCCGCCGAGTCGTCCTCGTCGTACTGCAGTCGCACGTTGGAGAGAGGCAGCAAATTCAGCACGTCGAAGTACTCCAGCTCGCCGTCATCCTCGAAGAGGATGCTGTCTAAACTCCGGTGCTCCTTGCGTTTACGCTTCACCTAGGCGAGAGGGTACTTTCCTCCATGAGAGCGTTCTCCTCGATCCGAGAGCGATTTGCGAGGGAGTCGGTCTTTTTTTTTTCAATTTCCGCTCAGCGGAGGTGCTCCCGTAATGCATGCATGCGGCGACATTTGAGATAATCGATTTTTAACGTCCTCTCGCTCAAGAGCGGCCTACGCCCCGTCGAAAGTTGATTCTCGCGAGCGCGAGGTGTCGCGTCACGATGTTAATGCAAATGCACGATTTTTTCGGAAAAAAAAAGAACTCCCGGACTCTCACCGCCCCTGTCGATATCGTCGCCTCGTAAATCATTTCGCGACGAATAATAGTGATTGATAATCGGATCGTTATTTCGACCTTCTGGTATTCACGCGACGATATTGTTCCGCCGTCAGGCTCGCGAAGGCTAATTCGGCCGGTGTCAGTTGAACTCTAATTAAGTCAGGATTGAAGATAGCAATGATACTAGGGAACTTGACTGAGGCATAGTGATCTCTATCGTTTTAATTAACGTCGGTAACAAACTTCTTAATCTCGCCGGTGTATCGGCAAGACGTTTGAGATCCCAGCACGGATCTCAAAGGTGATACATCACATCGCGCTGGGTGAACTCTAATCAAATTAATAATTACGCTCGGAAATTTCCTCAGAGCAGCTCTCACTTGACATATTGTTCCATCGAGAATCGAGTCCAAACTTCGTCGTATCTATATATGTTTATGTGTGTGATCTGTTCATTTGTATCGTATACGTAATCGCGCATACGAAATCCTAAATTTTATATATATATATTTATACATACACGAGGAAAAATCATTTGCTGACATAGCAGATTTTATGCTATCGCAACAAAATCAATCAATTATGTAGTCAATAAATCGATTTGTTAAGATTGCCATTCGTTGAATATATTATGCTGAATCTATAAATTATAAGTTGTAAAAACAAATTAGTAAATGTAGGAAAACACTATTTTGGTGGCCAACAGTAAATTAACGTATCCTAAGGACCAATTCACTCAGCAAAGTTTTTCTATCTAGTTGTAGTAAACAAAACTGTATCTGCTCCAATTACGAATAATTTGGTTAATTTGGTTATACCAACTAAATTTTATCGCCGTCGCAACGAATATGCAACGATGGTTTTGCTACAGTAACAAAATGATTTCTCTCCGTGTACATATGTATACGTGTGTGTATGCGTGTGTTCCGCGTGATCCTAAACTAAATTCTAAGATGATTAATCGAGAACGACGAGTTCTCGCTGCCGACGATCTCCGTTATCGAGGAGAGGAGACCTCACCTGCGTGTATATGCAATCGATGCTGCGATTGCCTTCGATAGGCCAATTGTCCTCGACGATGTCGACCAGACCGCTCACGGTGTCTAAGTTTTGCACGCTGCAATACCGTCTAGGTGGATCCGGCCAGTCGAGGATGTTCAGCCTATCGGGGTCGGTGCGACTTCCCCGGTTGTAAGGCAGTGGATCTGGAAGAGACACGAGACCCGACGGGATCGAGTGAAGGCCGCACGTCGATCGCGAGTGGTAGGACCTCCCCTCGTTGAATCTCTCGTAAGAGTCCGTGAGGTGCTGCTGACTCTTGGAGAGTCTGGAATGAGTTGCGGAGTCTCCCTTGACTGATCGCTCACATGGAGTAAAGCCCGCGTTTGTAAAGCTCGCGGGCGCTCACGTGAAATGCGGCTGATATAAATCACGAAGGGAGGAGCATCTGCAAGTCTAATAGCTTCCGTAATTCGCGTCAACCCATCGGGTTCGTGTGTTACATCGGCGATGCCGACCGACGGAAGGAAACGATTAAAGGAAGGAGCTCGTCGAACGGGCAAGCGAGTGGAAAATTAGTTGCGAATAACGCGATTAGCCTGTCACCGAGATTTCACACGAGAAACGGACGAAGCATTTTTAAATTCTACCCGATATTCGTTATTTAAGGATTGATCACTCTCTAAACTGGGCCACGCTACTTGTGCGGCAGCTACGACGATATCGCAATACAATTTTTGAGAGAGGAAGCATGTATCGCTATATTTTACGACATCGTGAAAGCTTTTTCCAATATTTCTCTCCATCTCGAATAATTATTTCATCGCGAAGCCCAAGGCACACTTTCATGTTGACACAAGTCGCGAGGACCGATTTGAAATGGAGCGGCCCTTTTTTTCCTTATTCCTTCGTCTATGGCACAGTGTAGCGTGAATTAGATTGCTTCCAACGGTGCGGGCAAATGGGTGACAGAAACGAAAAACTTTTCTCGTCTGTGCGAACCACAGTCCGGTTTAATTCCGCGACCCGTGATATTCCTACTGGAGTTTTATTTCGATGGGATTTCTCCGAGTCCCATATCGCACGGGGAAGAAACAGAAGAAGAAAAAGAAGAAGAAGAAACTTCAAGACAGTTGTTCCGGTGATTCGTTAATAATCTGCGTCGCGCCCATTGAGCGTCAATCAAGTTTATCCTTATCGGATATGCCCATTAGATGCAATAATAATAATCTACCAACCCGCCGCGAGCGAGTAATACTGAATTTACGGTCAAGGGATCAAATTCGCGACGCGCATGGGAAAACTTAACGACCGCCGTAATTGCTATTGTTGACGACCGGCAGTTTATTATTATCTCAACGAGATTATGAGCGATAAACACGCCAGTGTTTATTCAGAGTATCGAGTATTGAGTACGTGATATATATATAAAACACGGAGGAATGTTCTCCCACTTGATCATCAATTAAAATGAGACGTTCCGAGCGCTTTTTAAATCTGCCCCTCTCGGCAATTAACGTATAACCTGCTTCCGCAATTTAGCACAATACATGAGACCGGCTCGAATCAACTGTCGAATAGAAAGAAACAAACTGTATAAACTGTATAAACAAGCTCTTAGAGATACAACTAAAGAAAAACAGAGAAAAAGTAAGAGAGAGGGAGAGAAAAAGAGGAAAGAGAAACGTTTATTTCGGTCCTAGGAGTCCTCTAAAAACTAATAAATGTGTGTTTACGTAAAATTGAAGAGCAAAAGAAATATATAATATTAGATAAAGAAATGTAGAATGAAAAAAGTAAGAGATTAAGATAAAGTACTGAATAGTGGAATGAAAAACAAATAACTGCGCGAATTACTTAAAATTAAAATAAGTATAAATAGATAATCAAATAAAAGATGAAAAGTTTTGAGAGAAAAAGACCTAATATGAGTTTATAGTATAAATGAAAAGGTTCTATATAAAGTTAGAACTAGATATGACAAAGAGAGAGAAAGAGAGAGAGAGAGAGAGAGAGAGAGAGAGAGTAGAGACAGGGCCAAAGAGCCGTCGCGGCTATTAATGTGAATAATTTAAATGATGAGAGGATAACAATGTATTTAACAATGCGGAACGACCCGAGACGAACTCTCGCTTCCTCGTATCTCTCGGGGCAATTCACGCGAGTTATCAATTGAGATATGATGGGATAAAGCGCGATGCTCGAGACTCGAGATTCTCTCATACCTGACGGACAGATGACTCACCTGTCCTTGAGCGAATTCCGATCGATCAGCTTGGCCCTCGGTATCAATTGATGCCTCCTCGGTAGATCGAAGGTTGACTGGCCCAGTCGGAAGTGACGGGTATCTCGCTCCTGCCGGGACTCGTCCTCCGATATCACCGCGAGGCTCCTCGTGCGCTTCAGCAGTTTCCTGCGATCCTGCGTCGACTGCGCCGAGTGCGATTCGTAGCGGCCGCCCTCCCTGCAATTAAGATCGCGCAATTGCGTGCGGTAACCGCCACGTCGAAAACGTCAGAAATGCAAATCATAATGAAATCATACATCGCGGACGGATTACCATGCGACACGAAACAACGCGCGCTCGGCATTGTACGCGCTCTATCAGCGAAGTCGCGCGCTTTCTCCCGAGTTTGCGAATCTCCTCGTGATATTCATTATCATGAATGAAAGTAAAATTCGTAGCCGCGCACTCGCAAGGTGACAGCGCGACCGCCGATATATCACTGATCCTTTACATTCGAAGGACACGAGCTCTTTGCTCGGAGGACGTCGCAGCGATTCGCCATTCGAAGTCCCTCAGAAAATTTGAAGAACGCCGCGGAGGCGCCTCTCGCTTATAAATCTAAATTTAAAGCAGCCACTACTGACTTAAAAACTGATTTATGAAAACTGATTTAGGAATCGGAAGACACCGCCGAAATTTCGGATGGCGCCGTTATGGCCACCCTTAGCTTGATGATAACCTTAAATCTCAGAGGATTAAATGGCTGTAATAAACCTGCCGGAGTATCATCCTAGCTTATGACATAAACTGGCGTGTAGCTTCGACGCTCGTTAATTGCCATAAGTGGCCGTGTTGGGCCGCAAAGTTCGTTAACGCGTGGACATATTGATTGCGTATTCATCTCCCCTCGCGATCTCACGCGAGACTGAGCCGTGACAGGACGATGAAATATTATCTAAAAGGCGACTCGGCGAAATCGACGCACGCGAACGCGGAAAAACTTTTGCGCAAGACGGCCGCGTCCGGAGGAAAACGCATAATGGCACAATGGGTGGGTGACGTCTCTTCGAGTTTCTCTCTCGGCGAGTCGAACGAACTTCCTTGTCTCATAAAGAGGCAGAGTGTGGTGTCAGGTGCGCGACCTCTTAAAGAACGAGATTTATCGCCGGTTTTATTCCGTACTTAGGAACGAAATTATTGCGATTTTATCACAGAGGAGGTCGCCGAATGGCCGGCTCGAAGCGTAACTGCCGCTATCGTTTTCCTCGCGTGACATTCGCCGATGATTTACCGCGTCCGAATACTTGCGTGTGCGCGCGAGAATACGTTCGTAATGGTCGTTAATTGTAATCTTGTAACACTGTTATTGTATCACTATGCGACGTGTGACACTTTTCGTACCTTCGCAGCGTGTCTCTCCTGTTCCGCGTTTATGAGTCCGGCCGGTCGACGAGTCATTTATGACGGTTAAATTTAAATCCTGCGTAAAAGCACATTTCTCATGTCCCCTGGCGAATGCTCTTAATAGACAGAGTGAAAGCCGTGAATGCGTCCTTCGTATAAACCAACGCCTTTATTACTTCTGAGTCGTTGAATTAAATCGCTCGCCCCGCTCTGATTTACAATTTCTAGTCCGCGAGTTTTTCGTTGGCAAACCTCACGGTCATTTGCATGCGAGAGCGAGGCCGGCGGTACACTACGTCCGCGCCATTGTGTGCGTTTCTTATCCGCCAGTTGTATCGTATAATAGTCCTCATCGTGGTTCGAATGTAAATTCCAACCGTTCGATCGTGAAAATAATGTCAAGTGCACAAATTAATTCGCCTAAGTGCCCTTAGTTTTGCGGGTCTTTAAATTCAAATTGGCGATAAAACGTTTACCAGCCGAGAAAACCGCAAAGCCATTATAACCGTTATAACGCTTGGCACGCAGCGAAGGAAAACAAGATCAGATCTCTGATTTAAGCTGGAAATTCTCTTTCACCCACTAGATTTAGCCCCCTCAAATAACCATCGATCGCTACAGCGCCGAAATTTAACAGACACACACTTCAACCATTATGTCAATACCCGGATGAATATCCGGGTGCCTATTTTAAGTATTCCGTTTACGCAAGCTATTGCTAAAATAGGTCGGGTAAGGGCTTTAAAAGCCAGGGAATAATGGGGAACCATTTTCTACCTACAACATGTGGAATTCCATAACGGTACTCTGCGTATTGACGTAACGTGACATTTTTTGGGGGTCTCGACCCAAGGGTGTAAGACCTAAAAAAAAATTAGGTCTCGAACACCACACCCACGCTGTTATTGAAATGCCTGCCGTTTCTATATAGTGAAAGATAGAGGGTTGGGATTGGAGGGGGAAAACTGCTGTTTTTCCTCTGTGACTCACCATGCTGCGCAGACCCATCTACCGTTTAGTAGGTGTGGGAGACGCCATTGAATTTAATCTTGGGTGTGCTACACCCATATGTGAAATTGGTGCTTTTGCGTCATATCATTATTTCTTATTTTTTCTGAAAAGTTACGTTCTTTATCTTGAAAATATGACTTCTTTTTAAACAGTATGGCTTTATAAAAAAAGCTGTAAATTTTAAGCAAATAGCATATTTTGTAATTTAGAAATTTTTGTTCGAACTTTTCCAAAATTAACATTTTTCTAAACGTCAGTCATAATTACAACGACACAAGCGCATTCCTGATATTTTGTTGTTTAAATTTAAAGAAAATATGTTTAAAAATATCCACTTTTTTCGAAGAGTTATTGATAGTTGAAAGTGGCTGGGTGTAGTACACTCAGTATGATGAAATCAGGACTCGCAGGAGGTGAGGTGTTCTAGGGTGTTCTATTAAAGAAATTGAGAATACTCAAGTCGATAAATCTATCAGCTTCAAACCATTTAATTTATGTTGAGAAAGAATTCAGAAACTTCCTGAAAAATGGCATTAAAAATGACGAAGATCATCTTGATAATTGAAAATGAAATAATATTTTTTTAGAAATCAGTTTTAATTTTTCTAGAGACAGCGAATTGATTTGTACATCTGATAATGCGCACGGAAAAAAACAGTTCCCGCAACTGAACAGCGACCGAATGGAAACTCAGTGATAAAAAATGATATAACTGTTACTACGACTGGGCACCTTCGTGTGAATATTAAAGCTGTATTAAAACTCGGTTAAGACAACTGAGAGCAATTGATTGAACGGGAATCTCCTATAGGAATCTTTCTGTTCTCAAAATCGAGTTTTTATCTGGTCTCCAGTCAACGGAAAATTTAGTTACCCCAACGGAATTGTTTTTCTGGAAGAGAATATCTCTGCAAAAATGATTATTGTAATGTTATTGTATGATTATTGCATGTAAATTATCGTATGTCGCGAATGCAATTCGCAATAGAAAAAAAGAGCATAAGTACAAAGAGATTCAGAATCGTCAGCATATCGTGTTTTCGTTGATCGGTTATGCAAAGCTTATTTGATATCAAGCCGAGGATCGTTACGCCCAATTTGCTTACCTAATGCCGACTGCCCGAGTGCACTCGCGAAAAAGATGTTGCCTGCGTAACACACAGCGATGGTATCCTTTCGATCAATAGCGGCGATAAAGACTCACGCGCCGTTTCGACTCATTGCACGCCAATGCGAGAACCCAGAGAATACTGTGGATGCAACTGACGTGTAATTACTTCGTTATTTTGATCCACTGTGTGCACGCGCCGACTTTAAGCCGGCTGCTTAATTGACGCTCACAGGGAGCGAGAGAGATGCGCCGGTAGAATGTAAGATTCGCGGGTGTCGCGTGCGAAGATTTTGAGACGGAAGTGACGCTACGCGACGCAGGGAACGGAACGAAAAAGACGAAAGAAACGAAGGAAGAAGCACCGTCAGCTCGTTGTTTGTTTTTCCCTCTTCGTTAAATTGCAAATCCCCCGCTCGGTGCATGAATAAATTCGACCAAACTATCTATCGACGCGAATATAGGGCACGCGTTTTTTTTTTCCACTCCAACAGCCGCGCACGCGGTGAAAACGGACGTGTCCTTTCGGCCGACTGGCTGTCTTAACGAATCCTTGAAGCTAGAATGCATACGGCGTATCGTCGTCTCATTGTACTCGCCTGAGCACGACGGCTAGTTACGTAAGATTATCACGAGTTATCTCGAGTAACTCTGCACGCCCGTTTTCGACGCGTGTGCGCGAGGATGAGGACGGTTCCCAGGTGTCTGTTTGAGTTTCCTCTCGACGGAGCTACCGCTGTGCAGCCGTGTCCTCTAAAAGTCCCGATCCTTTTTTCGTTAATTATTTCGCCCCAGGCGCGCTTTCAAGTCACTTAGGCGAGATGGAATTTCTTAACAGCGCGCCGAATTAATTTTAACGATTCAACAGTAAGACGGATAGACTTTGAGATCTTTGCAACATTCGTGACTAATGGTCGTCGCCTCGTTTGCGATCGTGCGCGGCGATTTAATCATGCGCTCTTAAAGCAAGCGCTTTACCTCGTTTCGTGCGCGTCCCCGCGATCCCTAAGCGAAAGATGATCGATAGTGATCGATGTGCGCGACAGCACGCTCTTGAATCGCGGCCAACGAGCCGGTCGTTTAGTTATGCCATTCTAATTATTCGGCCGATCTCGCGGGCGCTCGTAAAACTGAAACTGAAACATCGCTCCGCGGAAAAGTGAGGGGGATTCCGATTGCACAGATTTCAATCGCCGAGCGAATTCATATTCAACCGTGTCGGCCTGAATTTTTTTCTTCNTTTTTTTTTTTTTTTTTTTTTTTTTATACGGAGCGCGGGAACGAGAAAGCTCTAACTGAACAATCAAATTATCGAGCTGCGTTCAATATTCACTGATTATTTCAGCACAGCTCGATGCGCTCCGGGAAGAGAAACGAGATTTTTGTCATCGTTAATCCAGGAAAACCCGCGATTATCATATAACCGGAACGTCTACGCATGTGAATCGCCGAGCGATCGTTCGAAATACCCTCGAGTACTCGCGATACGAGAGAGAAATACGCGCGATGGTTTCCTCAAACAAAAGCGTCAAGAATAAACCTCTCTCCACCGCCGTAGAGTATTGAAGAAAGAGAGAGAGAGAGTAAATATCCCACGTACTTTGACCGACATCCACTTCGGCAAAGCGAACTAAATTTGTCTTTGATATAGGGCCTCAGAGGCGAAACAATATTCCTTTAGCACGTACGTACGATGAGCTCACTTTGTCGAAGT